GTATAAAAATACAACTGCGTGAAACACACAGTAGTATAAAACTTCAACTGCGTGAAACACACAGTAGTATGAAACTTCAACTGCGTGAAATACACAGCAGTATGAAAATTCGGCTGCGTGAAACACACAAACTTCACGCATGCGTGGAGTGTATGGAGTGTACGCGAGTGATTCACGCAATGGTGCGAATAGTCACGGCCATTACCAATGACGAAATTCCTGGAAATTTCAGTGCTAATTTAATTCGATAAAAATTTCCCAAAAGTGTGCCGGAAATTTCAGGCAAGAATTTTCAACAGTATAAAAAAAATCCTATGAAACTCTTCCGGATGTTAAATCAGAGTGAAATATTCGACTCGACTGACTCCTTGAAAAACCTGGAAACCTCCTGAACGGGGCATAACTAGAATAATTCAGTCAGCACATTTCAGGTCAAAATATTCGACTTGGGTTCCTCCAATCCCCATGGGTATATTCACATTTTCCATTGTTTTCCATATTCTAGGTATTTCCGTAGACCGAACTGTTTTGTATATGTATACTTGTATACGCAAGTAACTACGCTCGGGGCCGCCTCGGCATTGGGCACTGGCTCGTATCGCAGCCTCCGCGTGCCAATACACCCATTGCATGTCCCTCGACAAATTGCCATTTTACACTCAGCCGTCTCAGCCTTAACTCCATCCCCACTCGTTCAATCCAGTCAGTTTGTCGTAAAGCATGGAATTACCTCCGGCTTCGGTTCACTGTAACTCCCCTTCTCGTTTTCTCACTTCAATTGTACATTTTTGCTTTTATTTACACTCGGCTTGAATTTTTTTCAGTTATTCCGGGGTACCTCTTTTCGTATATCTTGCCTTCATCTTGCAGTTTCCTCTCGATAAACCTCGACAATGCCCTGGACCGATAAATCCAGGGAGGCTTTCCACGTACCGTCGACTCGCTCGCCCGTAAAATCATCCTTTACGCCGGGATCTACTGGAGGAAAAGCCCGCAGTATAGCCCATTCATAATTCACTTCCGGCGAATGTTTTTTTCCCTCTGGAGATAGCCAACGACGAATGGAGAAAACACATGAATCTTTTAATAAAAGGGTTATGGGCGGCAAGTCCACATTGGTGGTGATTTTGCGGTGATGGGTTTGGTTGTTTATAGGGAAAGGCTGAACCATTTGTGATGGCATTGAGAATTCTATGCTCCAGAATTTTGGGAATTGGGTGTGACCCGTTATGCGCTCAACCAATAACTTTCCGACTAATTCCCTTTTTTGTCGATTAGAAAAAAAAGCAAATTTTCAATGTTTCATCGCAATAATTGAACAGCTGCTGAGACAATTCCGCTCAACTTTAGTTAGAATCGAGTTGTGTGAAGACCCATCGATTATACCAAATTAATTTATATGCCATCGTTATTTCAAGTAAAATCGTCGAATTTCAATGAAATTCAACCGTTAGAAAAAAAAAATTTCAGGTTTTACTGAAAATTCAGTAAAATTCCAGAACTTTAAGGGGCATAAGGACGAGAATTCTTTAATTTATTCAAATTTCCAATCTAATATTAATATTCAATGTCCAATTGCATTGAATTTTCAGTGAAATCTGAAATTTCATGATTTTTTTCCCCCTAAATCGCATTCAGTGTCACTCATATTTACCAGAATTTTCTGGTTATCTATTCATTTTCAGGGAAAAATGAAACGGAAAGTTACAGTTCTGTTTGATTTCTCCACAAAGTTCTGAATTTTCACTGACAAGATTTCCTGATATTTCAGTGAAATTGCAATACCATAAAAATTTCTGGAATTCGGCACGAAAAATTCAGACAGAAATTTTCAACAGTGCTGTCACTTTTTTAAATTTATTTACAAGTTTTATGCAGTTTTTATAATCTAATTATTTCTAAGTCACATGAAGACGCGTCGATTAAAAACAAAAAAAGTTGAACCGGTTCATTTGTTCAGGAGACAGTTGAATAAAATTCCCCTCACATCATACGCATATACGCAAACATCTCTTCAAAAACATTTCAGGTTTACTCAAGAGGTCATGAGATGTGGACAAATCATCGAAATTCAACATTTCATTTTGGGGGTCATTGCAGTAAGTTTCTCCCTTCGGTTCGGGAAGTTGAAAATTCCCTGCGGTGGCCCTTGACATGATTACGATAAATGATCTTGTTTACAGGGCGAGGTTTTTTCCTCTCCACTCTTTGTGGCTGTATGGCTGGAAAAATCTCGATATCGAACTGACCTGCGTGATTCGATGCGCTATCGCAATTAGCGGGGCGCACCTATTTACCCCCCATAATTTCCCTTCAGAATGATCCCGCCCCACTGAAATTTTCCCAAAAAGAGAAAACCTCGCGGCAATTCTCTTTCATGCCTCTCGAGTGTATTTTTCATCTTATTTATTTACCCCAAGTAAACCTCCACCAGCAAACGTCGCAGGGGCGAATGCGCGCGCGCGCTTATCGACGCAGCATTTGCCAAACAATCAAGCTCCTCCGTGATTCCCAAGAAAACTTAGTGATAGAGAAAAATCAATACACATATTTTTTCATTTTAAAACACCCTCACGCCTCCAATATTTGACGAATAAAAATTTCAAGGAGAAGTCACACATCAAATTGTTGGAATAACTGATGGAAAAGCTTCTCTTACCTCGACTGAATGAGAAAGAGTGGATTCTATCAACAAAAAGCCCAACTCGAGCGTTTCTTTACCTCGATGACATCTATTTCTGTT